TATATATAGATTGTGTGTGAATAAATTGAAACTGAATCACTTTATTTTAACATTAATCTTTGCATTTTATTTCCTCTAGTTGTCACATTGGACACATATTCCTGCATGGATCCTGGTATCCCAGTGAACGGTGTGCGCTTGAACCATGACCTGTCCATCGGCTCCACGGTGTCCTTCCAGTGTGACCCAGGATACAGACTGAGTCACGAGGAGCCGCTGGTTTGTGAAAAGAACCACTTCTGGAGTCATCCTCTGCCTACTTGTGATGGTAAGAGCACATAAAATGTTCCATTCCAGCTCACCCACTTTTGGAAAGCTTTCTGGTTAGCCCTCAACAGGTTTGACAAAGCAAATACACTTTGCACAAAAAAAAGTAAGGGAATTTGAGTTTGGTGGGTTATTTCGTTGTTGTAACAATGCTTCCTCATAGAAAATCTTATACTAGCACATGATTGGCAGCACCTGGTAGTATCAGAAGCTCAAAACAAATGTCAATAGCAACAACAAAATAAGCTGTTTGACAGAAAACCTTTGGCAAACTTTTCATGTGCGCAACCCACGTACTCAACTCTGCTGCTCATCTCACAAATGCATGTTCCTTACAAATATGGCATCATTTTAAAGGGAAATGTACAGGCTCTGCAACTGCCATAAAGCATTGTTACAACAGATAAATAATCTACCAAACAGATTTCCTTACTGTTTGTGCTAAGTATTAATGTATGCACAGACTTTTTTAAAATATATTTTTTTTATCCAGCAACTACACCTAGGCAATGTGGGAAAACGTAAAATCAGACACTTAATCTCATACTCAGGGTTAGGATTTGAAGATTATGGTTTTGTTTAAAATCACACTCAAGGACAGATTTGTTATTTAAGATGAATATCATAAATAACACTTTTTATTGCCAAATGCTCTAAAAGGCAACCATCCTGTATTTCCATGTTTCCTTATATAGATGCAAAATTACTTATGTAACACTGCGTGGCTTTAAATAAACTTCTTAGAAAGTAATCATTAGATGTACATCTACAACTGATGACCTTTTGAAATCAGCCTTAATGGTCACCATAACTAACTAACAAGCAAAACACAAACCTTTGTATATCTCTGTTAGTTTTACAGATGTTGAAGGAAACATTGGTGTGCTTGCAGCTCATAGTCATCCTGCACTTTGAGATTGCGTGAGATCTTTGTTTAAAACTCTGGCATAGCAAGCTGCAGGCAATTTGCATGTCTTAAAAGAATGGAATTTTTTAATTTAGTCACACACGGCTAGAGTTTGACAAAACAACTAAACATGCAAGCCTGAGCACTGGAGAACTATACCATGCACATAATACATGAATTTTATATATTTTGGATTGTTTACTTGCCTAGGTGTATGCCAGTGTTCTGCCAAATACCTTAGTTCTCTGCCTGTGGAGCTTCTGAAGGAATCATTGGCCAAGCGTGCTCATCAACTTTTAATGGCTTTATGTAATTTTGGCTCATTAATAAAATATTTAATATAATTTTTTGTTGGTGGGTAAAGATTCAGGCCTTGGATGTGTTGTGCTCTCTGGAAGGCCCAAGGGTGTTGAGGGAAAGAGGATAAGAGGGGGCGATGTGGGGGGGCTGCATCTGTGGAGCCTGAGGCTTCCTATCCTCCAAAACATCAGCTGACGTTTATTACTTTGATAACTTGTACACACATTTACTGCTCATGGCTGTTTCTAAAGTGCCCAAGCTAAGGCACAAGCACTTTACCAGACCAAAATAGAGGAAAATACAAATCTTGTCACATTTCATGGATGCTGTATTTGACAAGGATTGGCCCTAATGTGAAATGACCTTTTAGTTAAAACCCAGAAAATGACTTGAGAAAACGTTAGCAG